CCTCCATCAGTGGCCATGCGTGGGAACCCCCAGGTCCTCCAGCAGCACTTCCACCAGAGACCCCAGGGGTCACTGCTGTAGCCTGTTCCTCTGCCATGGCTGTGGCCCACTGATCCATCGATCCATGGGCGCTTGGGTTTTACACCGGCCACCACCCATCTTTCATTCCCTCCAAAGCAATGCTAGCAGAGATTGTTGCTGGTTGCGCATTTTTTCCTGAAGGATCCGACGTTTTGGAGGCATGGAGTAGGAAACAACTTCTGATCCAGTGATCAGTTTTCCCTGTTCCTAGAAATGTACTGACGGCTACTGCCATGGGAATTTCTCACTGCTGCAGCCCTCCATAGGTCCTCAGACTCCCACTCTCCGCTGCATCCCTGAGTTTGGACGTGATTCTCAACCCTGGCTGCACATTAGAAACACCTGAGCAACACAAGTACCATCAAAGCTGGGGTCGCATGTCCACTCCAGGGTCTGCTTTATCCAGACCCGGGAGGGGTTAGAAACAATCCCCAGGTGATTTTAACGTGTAGCCAAGAATGGGAAACCTGGCTCTGCTCTCTCCAGTTGCCAGGGAACAATCCTCGAATTCCTGTTACCATGCAAAGTGTTGACTCTTTTTGTTTTCCCCTCTCCTTCCAGACCATGAAATGCCTCAAACTGCAGCCAGATTGTAGAACATTTTTTCCCTTCTTCCGTCTACACACATGCAGGCCTTTAAAAAGAAGATCAGACCACATATATTGTTCTACATTTTGGTTTTAACATTCGACTTCCTTTTGTCCCTGTAAGACTGATCTGCCTCATTATTCAGAGACCACATAATATTTCATTATTAAGCATATACCATAATTCGCTTAGCCATTTTCCTATTGATGTCACTTGGGTTTTTCCCTCATATTTTGCTATTACTAATTATACAGTAGCTGCAGTGAGCATCCATGTGGGTGTGTATCCTTCAAAACTTGTGGAAATATTTCCTAGAGTGGAATCACCAGGTCAAAGGATATGTACATTTAAAATTTTGACAGGTATTGCAAAAACACTCTCCATTTAAATGTTGTATCAACATACTCTTCCACCAATGGTTTGTTAAGGCAGTGGTCCCCAACCTTCTTGGTGCCAGGGACTGGATTCATGGAAGACAATTTTTCCACAGATTGAGGGGGAGATGGTTTGGGGATTATTCAAGTGTATTACATTTGTTAGATTTGCAGCTGCTCCCCAGCGCTGATCTGACAGGAAGCAGAGCTCAGGCGGTGATGCCAGCAATAGGGAGCGGCTGTAAATACAGACGAAGCTTCAATTGCTGGCCAGCTGCTCACCTCCTGCTGCGCAGACAGGTTCCTAACAGGCCACAGACTGGTACCAGTCCATGGCCCTGGGGTTGGGGACTACAGTGTTAAGTGTTTCCCCTGGCTCTTAACAACACCAAATATTATATTATTAATCTTTTTTACTATTTGCTAATTTGCTAGGCAAAAAAATAAAAGGTGTTGCATTGTTTTAGTTCACATTTCTCTGATTGCTAGTGAAGTTAAACATCTTTTTGTCTTTTTGTTAGTACTTTGTATTTCTTCTATGAATTGCCTATTTAATAAATTTTTGATGGCTTTTTGGAAGATACAATGCAATCCCCTCCTGTTTCTCTCCCTGCCCCCACTGCCATTATAACAGGTCTGTAATATTATCTAGTCAGTTCTTGATTATTCAAAGGAATAGAGGGGAGTTGAATATTAAAATTCAGAATTTCAGAAAATTATAATGTGATTTCTATTAGGATTTTAAGCATTTTTTTAGAAAGAGCACAGCTGTGGGAGTGAGGCATACCTGATTCACATCCTAGTTCTGCCTCTGTCTAGCTTGGTGATTCTAGGGATTTTCCTCACTGAGTCCTGGTTTTCATAACTGTAATATGGGAATAATAACTTAGCCTAATTGCAATAATTACATAAGATAATGTGTGTGAACCACCCGATGTGGAGCCTGGCACATAGTTAATACTCAATAAAAGGCTGTTATTGTAATAATGTTATTATAACATTTGAATGTTAAAATTGTTCCAAACCAGGAACCCTCATTGTGAGTTTCTGGGTCCCATATCCTTACTCTTCTCTCAACTGCTCTCTAAAACAGGCCGCCTATGCTCCCATCCCCTTCCTGCTGCCTCTCTGATTAAGCAGGTTTTTTTCTTCTTCAGGATGAAGGGTTTGAATTTCAAGTCCGCAAACCCAGTGCACAGAAGAGGTGAGGTAGCCCCAAACTGTGATTGAGCACAGAACGGGTTGTGTGTTAACAATCGGGGCTGGAGACATGAGCAAATCCAGTACCAGAGAAGATGTCTCACTCTCTCTCCAGGTTAATTGTCAGTTAAAGCCTGTCCTTAATCCACAATCAAGAACTGACCATGGGACCTGTTGAAATACCTTCAGTTACGAGTAACAGGACCCCAGGAGCTCTAAATAATGAGAAAAACTTATCAATCTGGGTCATAAGAAGTCTGGAGGTAGGGCATGTCCAAGGTGGTTCATTCAGCAGCTCAACCACATCCTCCAGAACCCAGTTCTTCGCATGCTTCGAGAGGGTGCCTGCAGCGTGTTGCCTGTCCTGCGTGAGCTGCCCCCGTCCCAAGGAGGCTGCTGCAGAGAACAGCATCTAGAGACAGAGACAAGATGTTTCTCCTCATATGTTTCTTTTAAAAAGTGAAGAAACCTTTCTTATAAGATCCCCAAGAGATTTCTCCTAACATCATATTGGCCCAAATTGACTCATCACATGCCCCGTGCTGAGAAAAATCAGTAGCAGGACAGTAAAATTACTATTTTACTGGGGTCAGAGAAAGACCACTGAAGTGCAAGGCTACCCAACACCTGAACAAAACTGTTAGCGAGGAAGGGAGGAAACGGTGGCTGCACAGATGCTCAACGGTGTCTGTCACCGCCACATGTATTTGTAAGGGTTTATAAGCTATGTTTTTAAGATCCAATTTTAAATTCATATGTAAATCCTTAGATTAATTATATAAAAATATCAGCTTTGAAGTTTGCTCGCTGGAAACTCAGCATTACAAAGGGAGGGCAGTAATATTTCTTGTCATTGTTAAGTATTAATTATGAGTAAATAACCTAGCTTTAAAAGGAATACGCTTGGAAGAATGAGCATTCCTTTGCAATTCTCAAGCACGTGGCATGGAGTGAGTTTTGTGTGGTGCTATCTGAGATCTTAGGAGGAAAAGCTCCCTGGCAGGCGGGCCCCACAGAGGGCAGAGTGGGGAGCCCACATGGCACTGCCAGGGTTGTGTCTGTGGCAGAGGCCTGCCCTGCAGCTCGTCCAGCGAGCCTCATACCAAACACCTGGAATGCAAAGGTGGGGGAGCACATGGGAGGGTGTAATTCTAGAGAGGAAGTTCGTGCTAAGACACCCTTTAAAGGTGCCCAGGTCCCTGTAACTTGGCTCTCCAGGCTAATGAAGTTCTTCCTGCTCACTTCTCTGTCCTTGACCTCCATGGCTGGCTCATGCGAGAGAGGATAGATTTCAGATGTGACAGGGGCACGGTCCACTATGGTGGCAAAGAAGGAAACAACATCTAGGTGCCAAGGCCCGACCTGGGAAGAGTGTGAGCAAATTCACATTACTGAGTTTGGGCAAGTCGCCTTACCTCCCTGATCCCTGGTTCCCTCGTCTGTAAAATGGGAAGAACAGTAGATCAAGGGTGTTGTGAGGACCATGAGTTCTAATAACTCTCTTCACTTAGGCGAGCCAGGGAGAAATGGGCCAGGGTGGGATAGAGCTCACCAAATCATTTTGGGGATGGTGCAGCTACCTCTGCTGGCTCATACCAAGACCAAAGCAGAAACATCCTTGGACAGTTCCAGGCCCACCTGTCCCTTCCCTTGTCTCCAGACCTCATATCCACAGAAGAGGCGCATTTGTTTTGGGAGCCAGCTGAGATGGGCCTGTCCCACTTTCCCTTGCATCCTCTCTAAGAAAGATCAGAGCAAACCCAGCCCTGTCGTCTAAGCAAGTAACGTTGGCAGATTTGAGGGATAATCTTCCTAATTTAATGTCAGCCTCAGGTCACTAACTGACTTTTCAGTGCAGCCTGGCTCTGCCCTTTATTGGCTGTGTAACTGTGAGCAAGTGTTTTAACCTAAGTCATGCTCCTCAGTCATATGCACAATAAATATGGTAGCACAGATTTGTTGTGAAGATTAAGGTCACCAAGATAGAGTGTATAAAGCACCACATGTACTCACCATCAAATTGGTATTAACTGATCAACACGTAAGTGCCCACATAAAAATAACATCTATTGGATGTCGGGCAGGGGGGAGGGGGGAGGAGGGGACGGGTACATGCATACACAAAGAGTGCAATGCGCACCATCTGGGGGATGGACTTACTTGAAACTCGGACTTGGGGGGGGGCAAGGGCAACATACGTAACCTAAACATCTGTACCCCTATAATATCCTGAAATAAAAAAAAAAATAAAAAAATAAAAGATAGAGTGCATAAAGCATTAGCATAGTGCCTGGAACATAGAAAGCACCCCATAAATAGTAACAATTACTATTATTGGTTTATTGAAAGATGCGGACTTAGCAATTACTTTATTAATCTAATTTGCATAATAGTACACATTTTTAATATGGTAAAGCTGTATTTATTTAGAAAATACTCTAATTAATTCCCTCGCTCTTCAAACTGGCCATGTACCCTATTAAATAATGAAGATTTGTTATGCCCATAGCCAGTGGGGGTCACAGTTAGGTACTACCTCTCCAGTCTCTACCCACTCACCCGTCCTGCTGCAGTCAGCACAGTGTGGCTAAAGTGACCAGCAAGTGACAAGAGATACTCCAACATCTCCCAGTCATTAGCCTCAGGATCCAGCGTCCTCAGAGTCACTTCCTGATTGCTTGAAGGTAAGGAAAGTTGTAGCATGTGTCACATGTTCGAGGCCACCTCTGTTGAACTTGCCCCTGTCTTTCCTGGCAGGCTGTAAAGCGGTTCTTGAAACAAGAGTGCAAGTGTCATGGTGTGAGCGGCTCCTGTACCCTGAGGACATGCTGGCTGGCCATGGCCGACTTCAGGAAAACGGGTGCCTATCTCTGGAGGAAGTACAATGGGGCCATCCAAGTGGTCATGAACCAGGATGGCACGGGTTTCACTGTGGCTAACAAGAGGTTTAAGAAGCCAACAAAAAATGACCTCGTGTATTTTGAGAATTCTCCAGACTACTGTATCAGGGACCGAGAGGCAGGTAAGTTCAAAATATGTTATTCACAGCACCTAATCCTTTCAACGATTGATGTTCCACAATTTAAACGAGGCTTCGTATTTTCAGCCTGCTGCCTTCAGGTTCAAAACTCATGTTCTCTATAATTCACATTGAAACTGCACAGACAGCTCCTAAGCAACTGGAGAAACAGGTTGATTCTACACAGATTGATAACGTGTAGATTCTGGAGAAATGGGAACCCAAGAATGTACGGGGCAAAAAGTCAAAATATGCATATTAGCAAAATTCTTCAGCCTGGACAAAATTCTTATTAGTGGACTAATGTGCACTGTGTAGATATAGCAGCCAAGCATCTTTCACGTGATCCTGACGCTGCGAGGAGGATAGCTTTGCAATGTACCTTCCCTCTGTGACTACGGAAGAGGGTTGCAGGGCTTTAAATTTAGCCTCTTCTGAAAGTGCCCTACTTCACCTTCTCTTGCTCTTTTCAGTGCGCTTCCAAGTTGCCAAATACTAAAAAGCAAATCCCCATCTCTACGCTGTAGATGGGCAGTGTGTAAGGGAAGCACTTCCCTTCCAGATGGCAACTTCTTGGTCTTGAATTCTCTCAAAAAGCAGCTCCGTCAGCCTCCACACAGCAGCCGCTCCCACCTGTCTAGTTTTGGAAACGTGCATGCTCCACCTCTCCCCCCTCCCCCCCATCAGCCTTGAACTCCAGGCTTGGCTTGTTCTTTGCAGACTCTGGTGCAAAATGAGTACAAGTTTAAGTCGATAGGAGGTGGTGGGGGCCCACAGCCCACTTGGGCTCAGGCCAATTTCTCTGACTTGGTAGAGAACAAGGGAATTCATTATCAGAAAAACCATTCTTTAACTTAGATTCTGAGTTTTCTTTTTTTCATTCCCAAATAATCGCAAAGACACCAGTAAAACAATGCAGTTGGCAGCCAGCTCCTAACATGAAATTGACCAAGAAACTAGGTTACCAGGGAATGTCACAAGGAGGCCAAGGCCTCTTTTCTGCCCCAGAGGTTGAATTTCCTTCATGGTTTGCTGTGCTAGTTTCTTGAAGCATTTGAGCAGGTTTGTGCACGCAGCCTAGGGATTAATGACGACTGAGCAGAGGACCAGATGCTGTGCCCTGCTGCATTCCTGACACGCTTTGGGACCTCTAACAAGTCATCCTACCTGTCAGGCCAAAGTTTCACCCGAATCATCACGAAACCTGTTCTTTAATACAGGATTGTCCCAGGGGTCTGGCTCTCCCTCTGCCAGTCACTGGCTGTTTAACCTCGGCCTCCTCAAACTGAACGTGGAGATGATGGTATCTTGATCATTTTAGGTCCTGTGTATTGACTCCTGTGTGCTGGGTACCAGGCCAAGACCACTGCATACATGGTCTTATTGAATCCTAGAGCAGCCATATGACATCAGTGTGTTGGAAATAGTTTGCACAGGGAGGCAAGCAGTTATACCCGAGGAATATTTACTGCCTCGTGGATATTCAATGAAATAAAGATAATACTTTTCTTTTACCCCACAGAGGAGACCCCAAATCTAATCCCTGCCACCTCTTCAAGTTACTAAATTATTCTTGCACACTTTGCTCTCTCTACTTCTGTATTAGAAAGAAATTCTGTTTCTTGATCCTAAAATAGCAGACATATCTGCAGTACCCATCACATGCCAGAGCTCAATCTACATTCTCTCATTGATTCTTACAGAAAGTCCAGAAGGTACATATGTTATCATCCCATTTTATAGGAGAGGAAACTGATGCTCTGAGAGGTTAAGGATTTTGCCCAACCACTTGTGGCTGGTAAGAGGCAGAGCAGGGACTTAAACCTGAGTCTGTCTGTCCTTTCAACCATTTCATTCTGCCTGCCTCTGCACCAGGCACAAGGTGTGCAGCTGCAGGTGTTGGCTTCCTGGGGGAAGCTATTTTATTTACTCTCTTGTTCTCTTCCATCTTAGATGCATTTTTGTTTATCTAACTTTAAAAAAAATGTAAATTTGATTCTTGGTTGGTGTTGATTAACCAGGATCCACTCTGTTCTTTCTTCTTTTTCTTTTTTTTTTTTTAAGTAGCCATTCTAATGTATTAGATCAGATTTCCAGAAAGATTCCTAAATTATTCATAAATTATCTGAACTGTACTTAATTCATGCCCTTTTTAGCTGGACCTAAGAGTGCCAAAGTTATCCATGCAAACCTTGCAACACTTCTTTTTAATTCTGTTGACTATCAGATGATTATTTTAGTAAAAATATGATTCAAGATATTTGATATCATGTAAGCAAAAGTCCAGATTGTTAAAAGAATTTTTCGTTATTCATATTTGGTGTCATGTATGAATAGCCACACGTATGAGATGCAGGTTTTATCTGAGAAAGCTTCCTTCAACCCATACAGCTGCCAAGGGACTTGCTCTTGGTTGTGTGACCAATAGCCATAGCCTTTTAAAGATGAGGCTTTATCCTGTCCATTTTCTACTAGAAACTTCTGTAGTATGTGCTCTAGCCAGTCAGTCAAAAACAGTTGTAGAAGTTTGTGGGCACAGAGTCATCCTGGAGTAGCCTCTAACCTCTGTCAGTGGATCAGGGTGACCTGCAAGAGGGGGGGTTTCCTGCCTGTCACTCGCAGTGGGATGCAGGAGTCTCTCCTCCAAATGAAGCTGCTGGGTCAGCGCAGCACCCTCTCAGCCCGTGTTAAAGAACCACTCAGCACACACGTTACCGAGGGACCCTGTCTCCCGCACTAAAACCATACATTTGGAAGGGCCTATGTTCCAGCATATGGAGCTCTCACATGTTTGAAATGTGCTATCATCAGGCTCTAAAACAAGTCAAAAGTCTGCAGTAAAATTTAAATCAAGTAAGAATAATTTCTATTTTTTGCATCTTCTCTTTTAAAAAATGGCATTGACCCATCCCGACGTTACATCCATACCACCCAGTCTGCTTTGCTGTGGTTTTGTTTTGCTTTTGCTTTTGTCTTAAATCATTGTTTTGGTTTTTAAATCACGCACATTTAAATATTCAACTTAGTGGGCACCTTCTGCTTGCCGAAATGAAAAGCAATGGTGGTGAGCAGGTGGAATCTTGTCATGTAATGGCTATTTGGAATGGACTAGTTTTACTCTTGCTGATCAGCAACTGCTTCTTGTTCCAAGTAACTTGTTGACTGACGTGAGCTTCTTGTTTAGCCAATTAGGTCCATGCAGTGGATAAAGTTCACAGGTCTAGTCCACTGTTTTCCAAAGTGAGGGCCCCTTCAGAGACCTATTGAATGAGAATCTCAGGAACTGTGATTCTGTATGCTTTTCAAACACAAGCACATCACAGTTTGAAAGATCCATGATTGAGGTGGCCCATGATTCCTGATTTCCCCTAAGTATTAGATACAAAGAAATCCAGAGGGACTTTTTTTTTTTGAGTACCTGATCTCTTACAAAGGAAAAGAAAAATGTTTTTATTTGAGGAGTTCTAGATAAATGTTACCCAAAAGACATCCCCCACCCTGGCTTGCCCAGTATAAGAAGGTCATTCTTTCACATTTAGGGCCTGCGTCTTCAGGAACCCTCTTTTATTACAAGTTAACAAATGAAAATGATTTCGGTCAACAAAACTTTCACTGGAATTAGCCTGACGGAAGTTATCAAGTCAGCCCACTGGGGAAGTCCTGAAATAATGATACCAAGACTAGCGCATTATGATGAGAAGAATTGCAGAGTTGAGACCCAGGGATGTTCTTGGGCGAGGGCAGACCTAGCTGGGCAAGGAAGATGGGAACATTGGCTGAGTTCCTGCTGAGTTAGACCCTGTGCTGTACACCCGACGTGCATATCCTCTGACTTTTCCCAGCAGTTACTTCCACTTGTAGAGAAGGAAAGTGAAAAGTTACTTGCCCAAGACTGCATGACCTGTAAGTGGGAAACTAAACAAAATAAATAAGTAAATAAAAATCAAAACAAAAATTCATACCTTTCCTACTGTACCACTTACCTCCTAAAATTTGGGTGGTATCTCTGTGTGTGTGTGTGTGTGTGTGTGTGTGTGCGCTCATGGTGGGGGTAAGTCCTGTGTAACAAGGAGGCAGCATGAGGACAGGGGACCTTCAGGAGGTGAGATGCCCACAGAGTGGGGAGGTCGAAAGTGACCAGAATTCAGCTGCACCCACATTTACCTTACGTTCCCTTGGCGCCCCTTTCACTTAGAAGCCCTTCGAGTTTTTAAGAGTGTCAGTGTCTTTAATTGTTCCTAAGAAATAGTAAGCCCAAAAACCCATGAAGGAAGATATTCTTATGGCAACAACAAAAGACAGTTTCCCCTAGTCTTCAGCTGAAGAACGTGAGTGCCCTGGGGTTCAACTGTTACTGCTCTCCCGTGCCACTCAGATTAGAAAAGTACGTACAAACATGTGATGTTGTGCATGTGACACTTTGCAGGCCAAATGGGAGACTAGATTCTGGAAGCCGGGCTTTCTGGGATGAGTATTCTGTGGCTCTGCGGTTATCTACTCTGGTTATTGCTCCAGGCATCTGTAAATCAAAGAAGCCCTTAAGTTAGAGATAGTTTCATCTGTAACTGAGGAATGCTGCTGTCCTCTCCAGAGAAAGCGTCTGCACCTAATCACAGGCCACTTTGACTGGTTAGGATGTAAAAACTCTGACCTGGGCCAGAGGTCACCCTGAGGTCTCCCCTCCAACTGTTGGAAACAAGCAACCCTCCACCTCTTCTCCAGTCAAGTTCAAAAAATGAATGGAGATCAGCAGTTGTTTAACGTATTGCCTGCTGCAAACCTGATACCTGCCTGACGGTTCCGGGCTGTGAACGGTGTACGCTCTCAGGTATCGCTTTTTTCCCACATAAATCGTATTTGGCAAGCAGAACTCAGAACCCGCGGGAACACAATCGCGATCCCGGTTTGCAGCGATTAGTGTCCTAGCATGCCCTGTGCTGTGGCTCGGTTTGCAGAACCTGGGGAACAGTGATCGTGTCCCAGTAGCTGAACAAAAACAAGGG